CGCCCCCCCCCCCCTCCCCAGCATGAAGTCTTGTGGGTATCAATCCAGCTCAGCGCCGGGCACAATATTGTCCTGGGAGGTGTCTACCGGCCGGGTTCTTGCGGGCCCGGTGACCTCTCACTTATCCATCATCTCGACGACACCCTTCCTTTGGCCCGTCAACACGGCGCTAGTCTCATTCTTGCTGGGGACTTCAACGATCACAACCGTGCCTGGCCAAACAGCTCTAAGACCACACCGGCGGGCGAAGCACTTGAGGACACTTGTGCCGCGCACCTTCTTACGCAGCATGTTCAGACTCCTACTCGTGGCGACAATACCCTTGACCTTGTGATGTCTACCTTCAAATCCTCAGTATTGACAACCGCCACACCCCCTCTTGGGCGGTCTGACCACATTATCGTTCTATTCGACTTTGTAGGCATATTACCTTGCCACGAACCTGCAGCAAAGCGAACTGTCTGGCGGTACAAGAGCGCAGACTGGCATCGCCTCCAAGCTTTCCTTCGCAACTCTCCATGGCACGACATCATAACTGATGACCCGGACACCTCCTGTGAGCGGGTAACCACCACGATCAGAGGCGCAATAGCCAGGTTTGTCCCATCTAAGGAACTTACCACGAGGCCGAGTGATCCAAAGTGGTGGGTGGGGGCACCCGTGGGCAGCTGCATAATTTACTACGCATCCCATTCCTACCCAATCCTGCTGGGAGATGTTCTATCCAATTTCTGGGCAGCACCACATGGAACTCTCTACCCGATGCTACCCGCTCTCTAACAAACCTTCTTCATTTCAAAAAATCTCTTTCAGATCTTGATCTCACTTCACTCCATTAGCTATTGACACACTAGTACGTTCTGTCCCCTGTCCATCATCAATATTATCTACATGTACAACCACAACACACATAAAATACACTGCTGCATGGTATTTTTATAATTGTCCTGCTGACAGTCATGCCATCTTATTACTTCCCATGCTGTTCATATTTGATCATATTAATCTATCATACTATTCATCATAGCCTAGGAGCCGTGGCATCATTTATGATCCACAGCAAGAAGGCAGCAATGCCTGTACCTATGGTGAAGTATAATAAAGGTAACATAACATAACATGGTGGACACCGGAATGTACAGCTGCTATGAGGGAAAAGGACAAACGTTGGCGTTGCTGGAGAAAACACCCGCACGATCTTTCACTCAAACAAGCTTTCCTCCGCTCCGTTACCACAGCGTCAACATCCTAAGGCGATCCCAGGAAGCTAAAGAGGCCAGTATCCGTCACAGCCTGTCCACGGGCTCACTCAAGGACAAATAATGGTGGACCAGGTTAAAGTATGCTAGTGGGGGCGGACGTAACTCGGACATTCCTCTCATTGTTGGTGCGGGCGGACGGGAGTTGGCAACAAGCCATGAGAAATCGGAGGCCTTTGCCACCTTCTTCTCCAGGAAGTGCAGTGTCACTGGCCAGGATCTTACTTCTGACGACTTACTTGACCTTGTTGCGACCGAAGCACCGGCACTCGCAGCCGTTCATTTTCGCCCCGCCTTGTCTACCGTCTGCTGACGCGACTCGACATATCAAAGGCGATTGGTCCTGACGGCATTTCAGCCCGGGTCCTGAAGGAGTGTGCCAAAGAACTTGCGAAGCCTTTGTCCCGGCTATTCGCTCTCTGTTTCAGGTGCGGAGTTCAACTAGAATCTTGGAAGACAGCTAACGTAGTGCCGATCCACAAACGGTCCTCGTGCTCTGTTCTGAAGAACTACCACCCAGTCTCTTTATTATGGATAATGTCCAAAGTAATGAAAACTATTGTCAATCGCCAACTGATGAACCATCTTGAGCGCCAGCAGCTCCTCACTCCCCACCAGTTTGGGTTCCGTAGAGGTCTCGGCACGGCAGACGCACTACAGGCGCTTCATAACGCCTGGGTGGACATCATTGGCCAAGGTGGCACGGCACGAATTCTCACTGTCGATATAGCCGAAGCCGTTGACCGGGTCTCCCACGTGGGCCTCCTCTACAAGGTCCGGCAGCTGGGCATTACTGGCACTCTCCATAGCTGGCTATCGTCTTATCTTGACGGCCGTTCACTCCAGTGCTTAGTCGGCGGGCAGATTTCTTCTCTCTACCCAAACTCTGCAGGGGTGCCCCAAGGCAGTATCTTGGGCCCTACGCTGTTTTTAATATACGTGAATGACGCTGCCGATGTTCTTGATGGCAATGCTAAGCTTGAGGCCTACGCGGACGATATGACACTATACAGTCTAGTATCCTCAGCTCAGTGCTCTCGGGACGCTGCGCACACCTTGTAGGTATCTACAAACCGCCTGCATGAGTGGGGTTGCCGGTGGAAAGTGTCTTTCGAGCCCACCAAGTCACAGGCTATGACTGCTACCCTCCGACGCACTGAACTAGACCCACCCCAAATCCTGTTTGGTGGTACCCCTGTACCGGAGGAAACCAGCATATCACTGTTTGGTGTTCGATTTGACTCCAAATTGTCCTTCGCTAGTCACCTCAGGACCGTGACCATCCGCGCCCAGCAGCGCCTCGGCTTTCTCCGACGAGCGGCCCACATTCTAACGCCAGCTGGCCGAACGACTGTCTACAAGGCATTCGTGAGGCCCCTGATGGAGTATGCCCCGCTTGTGTGGATGGGCGCGCCAGCCAGCCACATCCAACGTCTGGATAATGTTCAACGCCGCGCACTGCACATCATTGGCCCTGGTGCAATTCTCCCCAGCCTGGCTGTCCGCCGGACTGTTGCTGCTCTCTCGTGCATGTACAAATTGCATTTGATCACTGGTCCTCCTCAGCTACTTGCTGTATTGCCACCGCATCGCGTTTCTCCAGCCAACCCCAGAACCAGGAACGAGCACAATAATGCCACTAGCCACGTCTATCAACTGTCAGACACGCTCCCTGTCTCAGCTCCATCCGTCGTGAAGCGGTCGTTCTCGTACTGCTGTATTGGCACATGGAACTCCCTTCCTGACAGGCTGCTGTCACAGCGCCCACACAAAACACGTTTTCAGTCATTCAAGACAAAGGTCTACCGACACCTGAGAGACAGCAACTGGTACTGGGCAACAGATTCCCTGTAATTTTTCGAGCTCGTCTCTTGCCGGACCCGCTAATCCGCGTACCTGGCCTTGCTCAGAGTGCTCAGCTGTGTTTTGCAGACATGAAAAAAAACTTGTTATGATTCTTTTCTTTTCTCTGTTTATTCTTTTACCAGGCATGGGCCATCCCCTGGACTATCAAAATGGGTGCCTTATTATTTTTCTGCTTTTTAGCTTTTTTTTTTACACTTCTTTGTGCGAATTTCGTATCAGATCTATTGAAAAAAGTTCATAAGTTTTGGTGGATGGAATTGACATGTACATGGTACATCAGTCCAAACACTGATAATTTACAATATCTTTTTTATCTTGTTTCTTTTTCTAAACACCAACCGGTACTTTTACCCATTCTACTTCCCCATAGCTAGATCTAGCTTCGCTTTATATTTCTGTTTCTTTTTCCTGGTGTGTGCTTGTGGCATTGAAGCCGAGATCTTTGGTCGGTGGAGCCCCTGGTACCTCACCATCACTGCTGCCCAGTGCAGCCCCTACTCAGTAGCTGTTTGTTTTTGTCCACATTATTATTTATTTTACGAGTTGGGTTTGTGAATAATAGTAAAAGAAATGACGGAAGATAGCGAGGTGGACACCAAGTATAGCGCCGAAATAGGTAAAATGGCCCCTGTTCTGCAAGCAATGGCAAAGCAGGTGACCTTGGACCAATGCGGACCTGAGATGAAGACTTACCTGGTCGAACGGCAGTGCTACGGGATGTCTCTGCGTCAGGTACAGGAGCACGGCGCGTCTTACCAGGTCGCGCACGGACGACAGGGTGATACTGTCAGGAAGTCAGTGGAACGATCCGTGCCAAGGCCCACTGCGTCGCAGATGCAAAGAAGCAGCTAAAGTCGCTGCCACCGGAAGGGAGAAACGTTTTTTCTGCAGCGAGAGAGACTCTGTTTGAACTGCCTCAAGTATGGCCGTACGGCAAGGTAATGTCGGTTAGGCTCGAGGTGCACGAAATGCCAGAGGAAGCACCATCTGCTAATACATGATGTGTTGGATGGAGAAGGTTACCGCCGGGAGAAACCGACTGAGATAGTAACGGAGAAGAGGGTTGGATCGTGCTGTCTACTCTCAGCAAATGTGCGGCTGATGACCGGATTGGCATGAGTTTAGGGATTTACCTGTTGTATGTTTACTGTGAATTCATAGGTCCTGTTGTAATCTGCTGTAGATCTGCTTGCTGTCTTGTCTTGTGGATTAGTTGCTATTGTTGTTAGATGTTTGTCGTGTTTGTATACTATAATTATTTAAATTCGCAAATCCAAACGAGCACATATGCTCAATGACAAGGAAGGAAATATGTCATTGTGTCACAGGGAAGGAGGGTTGGGGAGAAACTAATGAGAAAGAAGAGAGAATGATAGATATCTCAATGAAGAGCGAAGCTTTATCAAAACTACAAGTAAAGCCAGCGAATGACGGTTCTGTAACCCGCCTCATAAGACACTCCTGCAACTGGGTACTAACTGCTAACGAGAGTACTTGCTACTAATATGTGAAGCTGGTTTGTTGCTTCCATGTTTGTGGATCCTTCTGTTGAAGCAGAAGTATTGAGCCCTCTATTGGCAAGTATTGAGCACTCTATTGGACAGCCTGGAACATATCTGTTTTTAGGAGGCGAATGTGTATATGTGCTCATTTTTGAGGAGATGGCACTGTATTTCGTCTTCTTAAGATGGCGCTGTATTTCGTCTTCTCGAGATGGCACTGTATTTCGTCTTCTCGAGATGGCACTGTATTTCGTCTTCTTGAGATGGCGCTGTATTTCGTCTTCTTGAGATGGCACTGTATTTCGTCTTCTTGAGATGGCACTGTATTTCGTCTTCTTGAGATGGCACTGTATTTCGTCTTCTTTGCTTGCAGATACCTTAGTGGGAATAAAATCACCTCTTTACCCCCCGGAATTTTCAGTCAAAATACACATGTACAATGGTTGTAAGTTTAGTAGGGGATATAGATTGTAATCATTACATCCATGCATCGCTTAGTCAACGCATGTTTGGAGAAGTAACGTTTCTCCGCGCTCTCCTTCGGGAGAGCGAACAGTTCAAAGTTATTAAATGGAGTGAAGGAGGGAATGGAGCGAGGGATGAGAGTGCCCGGACGGCCAGTGTCGAGTCGCGACTGGCAGCTTGTCGGCAGGTTAGTCACCCGGATCTCCGTCAACTTGGAGCTAATGCGACCGTTTGGCCGAGGTTGCGCTGACTGATTGGCGGCATCTAGCCGAGCTCGACGACGAGCACGGCCTCAATAAGGGAACTGCCACCCCAACACCGGTAACGCAACGGCTGCATAATGTTGAAGTTTGCCTTGTTCGTGCTGGCAATGTGTCATGCAAGTAATGTCTTTTTCCTGAACGTTCGAACCTTTTCAATATTAATTGTCTGTGCATGTGCAAAATATTGATTTACCTATGTTGTTTAGTTTTCGACTACGTGGTTCTCGGCTGTAGTTTATTAGAAGAATTGTACTATTATGTACATTATACTCGTGTTATGTCGCTTTGACACTATGTACCCTCAGCTGTCATGATTCCTGTATTCATCCATTTCCAGTGTTATTTGTTGAAGTAAATAGTTGACATGTCGTGTGTTTTAGGACTGTCCTATTACATGTATATTCCTTTTGACTATTCTGCTGTTCCACGCGTGTGTTCACCTCACTGGTCTCGCTCGTTCCTCATTTCTTTTGTTCATTTAGCTTATGTGAAGCCAACACCTCGCTATATGCGGACGACAACACTCTTCTGGCTAGTCACCGGTCGCTCCCTGCAGGTAGAAATAGGTTGTGTGGTCAAGTGGATGCGAAGGTGGAAACTCCAGGCCGAACTCCGCCAAGACCGAGATCATGTGTGTCGTCCCCAACGCGTCATCAGATTTTGCACATCTTCAAACTTTTATTTTCCATTTCCCCGATGATCCTACCCCGATACCTATAACCTCTCGTCACAAGCACCTTGGCGTTAGTTACACTTGATAGCAAATTGGACTGGTCCCACCATTTCCAGAATCTGGAAAAGCGGGCAAGCTCAGTCGTCGGTATTCTTTATGGCCATCTCCCCCACATTTCACCAGAATGCCGAAAGACCTTTTATCATACATACGTTTTGCCTAATTTCTTGTATTGCTGTATGGTGTGGTGTGGCGCTGGTAATGGCCTCTTTGCAAAGCTGGAGATTGTGCATCGACAGATTCTCCGGGCAATACTTCGTTTGCCGCCCGAGACCAACATAGCTGTTCTCTCAAAAAGTATTCTTTCTAGACCAAAGAGTGGTATATTTGATAACATTTAATAACGATAGAATTTTTTTACGATACTTCTCACAACAGAACAACAAGGACAATCAAGGCTTGTTTGCTGCTACTTTAAGTTTCATGCTTACGCAATCATCAGGCAACATGAAGATCGGGTGCCGACCATGCCGGTATATATGCCAGGAGAGGGTGGTATAAAAAACTGTGTGAGACTGTGGGGGCTAGCGCAGTAGCGGTGATGTTTTAGGCAGGGGGCTGTGTGCAGAGTGTGTGGTTGTTGAATGAAGGCAGGGGCTAGCAGTGCAGTGTGAGCGCGAAGTGTGTGGCTGGTGTGGGCAGGAGGTGGTGAACAATGCGTGTGGATGTTGTAGGCAGGAGGCTGTAGAGCTAGCAGTGTGATAATAGCGCAATGTAAATGGATATGTCTGGTGTGGGCAGGGTGTTATGAGCAAGGTGTGTGAACGTGAATGGTGTGGGCAGGAGGCTGTGGAGACATGTTTAGGTGACACCGTGGTTTTTTAGGAGATACTTGTTCTCGTGTCGGCACTTGGACACCATTTCGGAGCGCTTGTTGAGGCTGGACGGTGACCCTAGCGTGTTCAGGATGTGATACTTTTCTCTGGTACAGAGGGAACACCGCTTCGTGATGTTGGAGTATGCCCGGGCGCGATCTTTTATCCTCCATTCGACTTCGTATTGGGCGTTGGATTTCTTCAGCTTCCAGATGTAGTTGGAGAACTCAGTGCAGCTGGAGTACTTCTCGTATCTTGTTGTAGTCATGTGGTTGGCATGGCGTGACTTGAATGGTGGCGCCGACATACCGGTGTATTCCTTTTTGGTGGGGCCTGACGTTATGGATGCCACATATATCAGCTCCGTCGTTTGGCATTCACCGTTGAGTGGACAAGATGGCTTGTCTCGGCAGTTGCAGGGCTTTTCCGGTTTTTTCGTTTGCGGGCAGAGGACCGCTTTGTTGTGGCTTTTGATGCGTGCAGCCATATTTGGCATGCAACTGTAGCTTATCTTGATGGTGTTTTTTGTGAATATTTTTCCGAGCTTCGACTGCGGGGGGAAGTGCTTCTTAATGAGCGCGAGGAATCTTCCACCGATGTTTGTTTTCACATTACGGCTGTAGGGCGGGTTGTACCAAATCACCTTTCTCTTCCTTTTCTTCTTTTTGCTTGTTTTCTGTTTGAACTCTAGCGTGCTAGGGTGGCCGCTGGCGTTGAGGGCCTCCGCGTAGATGGGGATAGCATCACGGAACACCGCCTCTGAGCAGGAGATGCTTGCCAGTCGGTTGTTAATTCCAGCTGGGATGTTCTTAAGGACTTGCGGTGGGTGATTGGAGTTGACGTTGACATACAGTGGGGTGTCGTTGGGTTTTCGGTACGGTTGGTAGGTTCCTGTGGAGAGACTCATTGTGATGTCCAGGTAGTTAACAGCGTTCAGGTTGACGTCTATCGTGATTTTTAGCCCCAGCGTCTTGAAGGTGTCGATGACAGCTTTCCTTACTTTGTCCGCACTGTGGCCAGTGGCGTTACGGAGGACGGCAAGCCCGTCGTCTCTGTAGAGGCCTACCGAGCCGCTACTGAAGTGCTGTTCGAGTTTACCCAGGAGGAAGGCGCCGACCAGCTCACATGCTTCAGCGCCATCGAAGGATCCCATGGTAACATCGAACAGCCCGTCTCTGTTTTTCTTTGCCCATGTTCGGTTAGCTCCGAATAGCAGTGACTGCCTCGCGTGTAGTATTATGTCGGCGTCACAGTCAGGAATTGCCACGAACTGCTTAGCGTAGGCGAGGGCTAGGCTCAGCAAGTTTTCGGAAATAGATGGGTAGAAATCCACTATATCGAACATCACGAACGTGTGGCTAGCCTTCTCCTCGATTGCCCTGAACCAGTTTATGACGGAGGATGTGTTTTTCCATAGGTTGATGTTGGGTTTGTCCCGCAGCGCTTCCACTATGCCGCTCAGTATCTTTCTGCTGATAACGCCTATCTCCGGCTTCGCAGGGTTAATTAGGCGGCATGGTATGTTCCGGGGGAAGTTTTCTTTGTGGTCCTTGATGGTGACGAAAGCTTCTGCCTTTGCCATGGTGTCGATGCGGTCCTCCAGGCCCTTATCAGCAGCGATTTTCTTGGCCTCGTCGTTGATGGTGTCGTAGGTGTTGATGGTGTCGTACGATACTTCTCCAGACGTTTCGTTGTTCTGAACAACATCGTCAGTGGATAAAGAATGGAGGGCTTTGGGTGGTGGCATGGGTTAATGATGGTGGTGAGATGAGGTGAGGTGAGAAGGTGAAGGTGGGAAATACATGTATCTAAGTTAATGGTGAAGGTTAGGTGCGGGTCGATACAGGTGGGAAGGGGTACACCCTTCGGGTAGAAGTGTAGGTTGGTAGAAGGTGTTGGTGTGCGTAGAAGGTGGAGTGGCGTAATGGAAGTGTCGGGTTGATAAATGTGGGAGAGAGTCTAGGTAGGGTGTGGATCAGCAATAGGTGTTGGTGTATGTGGTGGGTAGAATTGGCAAGAGGTGTGTGTGTGTGTGTGTGTGTGTGTGTGTGTGTGTGCGTGCGTGCGAAAAAGAGTAAGGTAGTGAGTATTGGTATGCGTGGAAGGAAGATGTGACAGAAGGTGTGCGCTATAGGCAAGGGGTGCAGGAATATTTTGAGGTGGTGGGTGGGACTAAAACAGGAGGTTGTGATTTATCTAGTGATATATATAATATCAGCAATAGCAGCAGTATATACAAAGAGGTGTGTGTGTGTGTATGCGTGTGCATTTGCAAGCTTTTTGGTAGTGTAGTGTGTTGGGGGGGGGGGGGGGGGAGAGAGCACCGGGTGCGGGTGTTCTTCTTCTATTGCGATCATTTTTGGATGGGTTGGCAGATAGTGGATGGTGGTAGGCAAGTTATGCCAAGAATCCAGTTCCCATATCTTCTTTTCTTCTGTTGATAGTTGGTTTCTTGTCGCGAATGGCATATGCCTCACGGATCCGGAGCCTCAGCTCATCCCTCTCCGTGAGCTGAGCAATCTCGTACATAATCTCTGGGGTGGCGTTCGGGTGTTCCCTAGCGTAGTGCACACCGAATGCAGACTTCTTGTTGTCATGAGATTTTGCAGCATTTGTGTGCTCTTGGGCCCGGGTGTGCACTTGCCTCCCAGTCGAGCCGACGTATCTCTCGTGACAAAGGTGGCATGTAGCTCCGTACACGGCAAATCTGCAGGTGCATTTCTTCCTGAACATAGGGCATTCGCGCATTCTGCATTTTTCCGGTTCTCCTTTTTTCTTCGTGAGTTCTTGGATGGTTGGGGGTCGAGGGTTAACGAGGCGTGCCGTTATGCCGTTTTTCTTAAGTGCTTGTCGTACTTGGCCGTTAACCTTGTCTCTATGAAATTTGCTGTACATTTCCTCTGAAAGATTACATTGACCAATCCTCCTGCGTATACATTCACAAAATCAAACTTATCACTTCCCCTCAGCATGTGCAGCATTCCTTAAACTGGTTCAATGAATCTTCAACAAGCCGGAACTCGCTTCGTTTCCCGATTGCAAGAAACAATTCCATGAGCCACTCGCCTGTATTCCTAGCATACCGATTATGGGATTGTCTTCCTCAGCAATTAAAGTCCAGTAACACCCTCAATGCGTTTTTAAGCTTGATAAATATACACGTATGTCG